GGGACAGTCTGGGTATATTACATGGGATACTGGGAGTGGTCTAGGGTCACATTACTATGGGATTTGGGGACGGTCTGTGGTCACATTACCACGGGATCTGGAAGCAGTTTAGGGTCACATTGCATGGGATTTTGGGACGGTCTGTGGTCACATTACACGGATCTGAAGCAGTGTTAGGGTCACATTGCATGGGATCTGGGAGCAATGTGGGGTCGCATTACATAGGATCTGGGATCAGTCTGTGGGGTCAACATTACACGGTATCTGGGAGCTGGGGGCAGTCTGGGGTCACATTACACCGCTGTGACCTGGAAGCAGTCTGGGGTCACATTACACGGGATCTTGGGACAGTCTGGGGTCACATTAATGGAATTTGGAGGGTTCGTGTTTTAGAGCAGTCTGGGATTCTCTAAAAGGGATCTATTCTCATGTCTTCTGATCGTTCATATCATGTGTGTGTGTGTGTGTGTGTCTGTGTGTGTTGTATGTGTGTGTGTGTGTTCTATGTGTATGAGTCTGCGTGTGTGTGTATGCGGGTTTGTGTGTGTGTCGCATGTGTGTGTCTATGTTTGTATGTGCATATTTGTGTGTGATGTGGTCTGTGCGCGTATGTCTGTGTGTGTCTGCATTTGTTTCTATGGATGTGTTTGTGTGTGCATGAGTATAACTGTATGTATGTATGTGTGTGAAATGTGCGTGTCAGTGTGGGTAGGTAGGTATGTATGTGGGTCAATGGGGGTGTGTTTCTGTGTGTGTGAAGGTATGTGGGTGAATTGGGGTGTGTTTATGTGTGTGTGAAGGTATGTTGGTGAATGGAGGTGTGTTTATGTGTGTGAAGGGTTGTGGGTGTGTTTAAATGAGTGGGTGGGTGTGAGTGTGTGTATATATATATATATATATATATATATGCGTGCGCTAGTGTGTTCATGCATTTGACCACCCATGAACTTTTTTTTAAATTCATAATATGCATATTATCATATGAATATAACATGCTTATTGATAAAATACAGCTGCAGTGTAAAATACGGGTGTGTGGAAGGGCCGAATGTAAGATAGGCTGTTATGTAGGATGTTATGTAGGCTGTCTTGTAGGCTGTCATGTAGGATGTTATGTAAGCTGTCGTGTAGGCTATAGTGTAGGCTGTCATGTATGATATCGTGTAGGCTGTCATGTAGGCTGTCGTGTAGGATGTCGTGTAGGATGTCGTGTAGTCTGTCATGTATTCTGTCGTGTAGGCTGTCTTGTAGGCTGTCATGTATTCTGTCATGTAGGCTGTCGTGTGTCAGTGATGAGAGAAGGCTACCGACTATGAAACCCCCTTCCCCCACCCATCCATCAACTGAGCCCCTTTCCTCACATTAAAGAGGTTTATTCTACACATTGGTAACATTCCCATTATTTTTCTTTATCATTATTATATATACTGAAAAGCACAATATATGTGTGTATGTTTATATATATATATATATATATATATATATATATATATATATATATATATATATATATATGTGTGTGTGTGTGTGTGTGTGTGTGTGTGTGTGTGTGAGTATATATATTTTGTGTGTGTGTGAAAAATTACTAAAAAACATTTATACTTTGATAGTCGGACCATTGCACATTTTCTTCAAATTACCTGAGAGATTGGAGTGGAAAGGGAGCGCTCTTAACCCCCCCCCCCCCCCCCCATCCCGAGAGCTAAGTTACCTCGTTGTATGACAGCTTAGTTACCTCATTGTTTTGAGAGAGCTAAGTTGCTTTATTGTTTGAGAGCTATTGCCTCAAGGTTTGAGAGCTAAGCTGCCTTAGTGTTCGAGAGCTAAGTTGCCTCATTGTTTGAGAGCTAAGTTGCCACATTGTTTCAGAGCTAAGTTGCCTCATTGTTTGAGAGCTAAGTTGCCACATTGTTTCAGAGCTAAGTTGCCTCATTGCTTGAGAGCTAGCTGCCTTATTGATTAAGAGCTAAGTTACTTCCTTGTTTGAGAGCTAAGTTACCTCATTGTTTTAGAGCAAAGTTATCTCATTTTTTCAGAGCTAAGTCGTCTCATTTTTTGAGAGCTAAGTTGCCTCATTGTTACAGAGCTAAGTTATCTCATTTTATGAGAGCTAAGTTACATTATTGTTAGAGAGCTAAGTTGTCTCATTGTTTGAGAGCTAATCTGCCTAATTGTTTGAGAGCTTACCTCATTTCAAGAGAGCTAAGTTACCTCAGGCTAGAGAGCTAAATTACACTTTTAGCTAAGTTACCGCACTGGGTGACCCCAAAGCTAGTGAATCCTCTGAGTGCGGCAGGAGCTCTCACGTCGGAGGGGAGAGGGTTTGAATGCCTGAGGGATGAATCTGTCCGCTAGTTCGCTAAGTACCAGGTATTGAAAAACTACTTTGTGGCCTTTGCTAGACACAACAACAGAAAACCGGTGGCTTTTATCTCCTTCTCTCTCCTGATGCCATTAGAAGCGGTTCTAAACTAAATGCGTTTAATGGCATTCCTCAATTCTCCTCCCCTGCCAACCGTCCTCCTGTTGCGTTGTTAGTACTAGCTAACGTCTTGTCAAAGAATGTGGTCACACGTGATCGTGAAGCCGACACAAAGTGCTCCCAGCAAAGATGTTTGTTGTCTTGTCAAGTCTACATTTTCTCTTTGACGCCTTAGCGGCTAATCGAGGTCCGTGCCTTGTTGTCGGATTTTTTATTTCCATAACTAAAGACTATATCTTGTTCTTATCTTGTCACCTTATTTGCTGTTCACGGTTGGTATACTGGAACTTCTGCATGCTCGCAACTACAAAGGGGATAGGGGAGGCAGTATCAAAGGTTCCTAGACGGGGGGAGGGAGGGCATGCTTTCTTCGAGTAGTGTTCTACTTTGTCTATATGCTTGTTTATTAGTCTAAATGTCAGTGGTGCTCTACTTTGTCTATATGCTTGTTTATTAGTCTAAATGTTAGTAGTGTTCTACTTTGTCTATATGCTTGTTTATTAGTCTAAATGTCAGTGGTGCTCTACTTTGTCTAAATACACGTTTATATGTCTAAATGTATGTTGATTGGTCTAAATGTCAGTGGTGTTCTACTTTGTCTATATGCATGTTTATGTCTAAGTGTCAGTAGTGCTCTACTTTGTCTATATGCATGTTTATGTCTAAGTGTCAGTAGTGCTCTACTTTGTCTATATGCATGTTTATATGTCTAAATGTATGTTGATTGGTCTAAATGTCAGTGCCGTTTCATTCATTCTTCCTTCACCTATCCAGTTACCACTTCTAAATTTGTAAGTGTGTGTGAGAGTATGTGTGTGAGAGTATTCGTGTGTGTTTAACTTGTGCTCTTTCTGTGTGCTCTACTTGTGTGCTCCATATGTACTTGCTCTACCTATTTGCTCACTATACCTGTGTGCTCTGCCTTTTTGCTCTCTATACATGTGTGCTCTGCCTATTTGCTCTCTATACCTGTGTGCTCTGCCTATTTGCTCTCTATACCTGTGTGCTCTGCCTTTTTGCTCTCTATACCTGTGTGCTCTGCCTATTTGCTCTCTATACCTGTGTGCTCTGCCTATTTGCTCACTATACCTGTGTGCTCTGCCTATTTGCTCTCTATACCTGTGTGCTCTGCCTATTTGCTCTCTATACCTGTGTGCTCTGCCTATTTGCTCTCTATACCTGTGTGCTTTGCCTTTTTGCTCTCTATACATGTGTGCTCTGCCTTTTTGCTCTCTATACCTGTGTGCTCTGCCTATTTGCTCTCTATACCTGTGTGCTCTGCCTATTTGCTCTCTATACCTGTGTGCTCTGCCTGTTTGCTCTCTATACCTGTGTGCTTTGCCTTTTTGCTCTCTATACATGTGTGCTCTGCCTTTTTGCTCTCTATACCTGTGTGCTCTGCCTTTTTGCTCTCTATACCTGTGTGCTCTGTCTATTTGCTCTCTATACCTGTGTGCTCTGCCTATTTGCTCTCTATACCTGTGTGCTCTGCCTATTTGCTCTCTATACATGTGTGCTCTGCCTATTTGCTCTCTATACCTGTGTGCTCTGCCTATTTGCTCTCTATACCTGTGTGCTCTGCCTATTTGCTCTCTATACCTGTGTGCTCTGCCTATTTGCTCTCTATACCTGTGTGCTCTGCCTATTTGCTCTCTATACCTGTGTGCTCTGCCTATTTGCTGTCTATACCTGTGTGCTCTGCCTGTTTGCTCTCTATACCTGTGTGTTCTGCCTGTTTGCTCTCTATACCTGTATGCTTCGCCTATTATCTCTATATACATATGTGCTCTGTTTTCTGTCTGTACCTGTGTGCTCTATCTGTGTGCTCTGTATGAATGTTCTATCTGTGTGGTCCACATATATGCTCAGTCAAAGAGCCATATAAGTTGGTTTTCTGATCTACAAGTTCTTGACTGTATCGTGATGCTGTTAGTAGTTCTGATCTACAAGTTCTTGACTGTGTCGTGTTGCTGTTGGTAGTTCTGATCTACAAGTTCTTGACTGTGTCGTGTTGCTGTTGATAGTTCTGATCTACAAGTTCTTGACTGTGTCGTGTTGCTGTTGATAGTTCTGATCTACAAGTTCTTGACTGTATCGTGTTGCTGTTGATAGTTCTGATCTACAAGTTCTTGACTGTGTCGTGTTGCTGTTAGTAGTTCTAATCTACAAGTTCTTGACTGTATCGTGTTGCTTTTGATGGTTTCAGGTGATCGTGAAGCCCATGCAGTCCCTGGTGCAGCGACCCCGGATCTGGTTGAAGATCACCATCGCCTGGACCTTGAGCCTGATCTTTCCCCTGCCGCAGCTCTTCATCTTCGTCCAGTACAACAGCGGGCTCATGTTGGACGGCAGCCCTCGGAGGATCTGCGGCAGCCGCGGCTACACGGCACCCTGGCAGCGCAAAGTCTACTTTACCTACACCACCATCTACATCCTGGTTATTCCTATGCTGATCATGCTCTACTGCTACACCAAGATCATCCGCGTCGTCTGGGTCAGGGCCGAGCACGAGACTCGAAGACGGTCTTCTTGTCTCATGCCCAGACCCACGGAGACGGCTCATAGAACACGGATGGCAGACAGGACGTCGGATACTTCTAGAGAAATGTGTCCCAGTAATGAGAACAGTGATACGGGATGTGGTTGTGATAGAGTGGTGAAGACATCTTGTTCCAGACCTTCTAAAACGGTTAGATGGTCGCGAAAGGTAATGGAAAGCCACCGCATGATTGAATGCGCTTCCGAGCAGAAGGGCAATACTCGGGAGGATTTGAACGCCAGTTCTCCACGGATGAGTATTCGTCGCGGCCTCATAACGGCCTCCAAACGGCGTGCGTTGGTGATGACGCTGACGGTAGTGATTAGCTTCCTGGTGTGTCACACGCCTTATTTCCTGCTGACCCTTGTCCGCATCTACAGCGACTACCAGCTCAAGCTGGAGCGGGCCATGTTTCTCAGTGAAGTTCTCGTCATGGTGCACAGCACTCTAAACCCTCTTCTCTACGGCCTCTTCACCCTCAGACAGTATCACCTGAAGCACATCATGTCTCTACTCACCTGTTCCACTCACCCCACTCACCAGCAGCACACACAACATCTCAGACAGTACTCACACGACAGGACTAAACTACTGTCCAATGTCCGGTCTAAACTCAGCAGCATCAACAGCAGCGGCGCTACAACCACCACAACTTTCGTCAGTAACCGTAAAAGTACGCATACTGACCCTCTGCTCCGTCATAACAAACCTGGAAGAACTAAACATCTGTCCACAGACGATTCGTCCAGGACTTCGCTGTCCTCAACAAAGTGTCCACTGTCTACAGCCCAGTGTACAGACCAGATGAAGCCGTGCTGTCAAACATTAGACTGGGATGTATGTTCGGACAAGGGTACCAAATGCCTTACTGACAAGCAACTGACCTTACTGCAGAATACGCACTGGTCAGATGTGGGGCCTTTAGTGGTCAGGCCCCCAGACAGGTTGCCTCCACATTCTTGCATCAATCTTTCAGCAGTGCTGCAATCTAACGGCACCTTACAGCCTTCAGGCGCCAGTTGTCTACCTAGCAGCCATCGGAGCGGTTACTGTCCAAGGGACGTCAGCGTGAGTTGTCAAAACATCGGCGACAATGTTTTACCAAATATGAACCCGGTCACTCGGCCAAACAAGATGGAGGAAACCACGGTGGAAGGTTTCAACAGAGACTGATATCACTCGAGAAACTGTTGTGTTTTTTCATGTTTTGTCCTCTTCATAAAACCAGTTTCTTTGTCACAGACTGCTCGTTGTTTACGATTGCACAATTCTATGGCCGCCTTTTACTACCATTCGTGTTGTTGTAGACAAAGAGACTGTTTGAACGGACACAAACAATAGATTGCACAATGTATTGCCTGACATATTTCGCTTATCTCGTTCTCATCAGTTGTGTTACTTCGGTAACAACCGATTACAAGCATACACATGACAAGACTGATGAGATACAGCGAAATATGCCAGACAATAAATTGTGCTATCTATTATTTGTGTATTATGTGTTCGAGTTTACAACGAGAAACATTCCTTTGATTTTCTGAAAGATACATTTCTCAGTCATTGCTGATGTTGGGGACAAACTTTAATTCCCCTTCCCAAACATACATGATATTTACCCCAGGACAAGGGGAAGACTAGCGGGGAAACACAAACTGCATACACTTGAAGGCATGTGCGCTACAAGTTGGCCATAAATGTAAATTAAATACATGTTTATTTGCTAGAGCGGAATATTCCTTGAAGGGAAGCCACTTGGCTAGAAGACAAGGGGGTGAATCCCTGGCAAATGTCACAAGCGGAGTCTCCTCATAAGGCAAGTTTTTTTTTTTTAAAGTAGAGATCCCTTGTCACGCCTTAGGTGCATCGAGACTATGGGAAAAGCCTCCCATATTTTTACAGACCATCGGCACTAGGTGGATAATGTGGTCAGCATTACCACGGCCGTCTTTACTTCCCCAGGACAGCCATCGTGGTACCCATTCTAGGCTGGTCGACCTGCGACACGACATACCTTGATAATGATCCACGCTGTCAGCAGTAGATTTCGATCGTGTTACGTTGGATTACGAGTCGGACTCGCAACCCCTGAGCCACGGACGCCGCTTTAAAAGGCAAGGAGCCGTGGTTATTGTGATCGAGTGAAGTAGTTAACAACAACCAGTTGAATAACAACAACCAGGTTAACAACAACCAGGTTCTAAATAACTAGGTTAGCGTCAACCAGGATAGTATAAACCTCGTTAACAGCAGATAGGTTAACAACAGACAGGTTAACAACAACCATGTCAATAACAAATAGGCTAACAACAGACGGGTTAACCACAAACAGGTTAATAACAGACACGTTAACAACAGTCACGTTAACAACAGAAGGTTAACAACCAACATATTATCAACAAAAAGATTGACAACAAACAGTTTAACAACAAACAGTTAAACAACAAACAGTTAAACAACAAACATGTTAACAGCAAACAGGTTAACAACAACCAGGTAAGTAACAGTAAGTTTGATTATGTCCCCATGTTTCACACAGTCGCATGTTTTCGTATAGCCAATGAAGCTTAGGTAAAGATCGTTTTTTCACTTTTATAGCTATTTCCGAAAGATGGGAGTACGACAAGGGTGTGTACTAACACCTGATTTGTTTTCATTGTACAGTGAATATCTAATGAGATCTAGCATGGATATGCCAGGAATTGTGGTAGGTGGTCATAACATAAACAACCTGCGTGAGGCTGATGACACCGTCGTGATAGCGACCATTTAAAACAAACTATAGGAATTGTGGTAGGTGGTCATAACATAAACAACCTGCGTGAGGCTGATGACACCGTCGTGATAGCGACCATTCAAAACAAACTATAGGAATTGTGGTAGGTGGTCATAACATAAACAACCTGTGTGAGGCTGATGACACCGTCGTGATAGCGACCATTCAAAACAAACTATAGGAATTGACATACGGTGGCGGCAGAAAGTGATAAAATGGGCCAAGTTTGAATCAAGGAAAGACAGAAGTAATGGTGATTTCCAAGAAAAGAACAGTACCTAATTGTATAATAAAAGTCAAAAGCTTTAGTTTAGGATAAGTACAGAAATATAAGTATCTGGGCACACGGATAACATCAGATGGAAGATGTACCACAGAGATAAAGAAAAAGAAAAATAGGACAGGCCAAAAAAGCATTTTATAAAATGAAGAAAATGTAATGCAATAAATCCCTTTAACTGGACGTTAGGAAAGAATTCCCGCATGCTATATATAGCCAGTTTTAACATTCGGATGTGAATCCTGGGCAATTAATAAACAAGCCGAACAATATCTTGAGGCCTCAGAGATGTGGTTTAACAGAAGAATCGTTGGAATTCCTTGGATAGCTAAAAAAGACAATCTAGATGTTTTGAAAAAGGTGAGTGCTCGGAGACCTTACCACAAACACCAGAAAAAGACAGTCATCATTTTTTGGTTTTTGGAATAAGGAAAATGAAACATGTTGTGACCACTGGAAAAATCTTTGGAAAGAGAGACAGAGGAAGACAAGGCGATTCTTTACGGCATTTTGTCCTAGCATGGAGGGGTGTCAGCATACGAACTAATACACGCAGCTGTGGATCGCAGATTGTGGACAGGCATGATCCCCCACGCCAGTTGGCAAGGCACTTGATGATGATGTGTCTATCTAGTGTCTCTAAGCATGCACTGTTCGCTGTCCTATGTGTGTACACTTTTCATATTTGTGGCATATTATTATATTTGTTTCCATATCTTCTTCTTTACGTACAGTTTCGTATGCTCAGATCAGACCATCAGGTGGGTTGCCTCTATGAACTCGCATGTCAGCTGCAGGTCCTGCATGGTCCCCCTTAGCTGGCTCTGCACACTTTGCTATTGAGGCCAGGTGTCTTTTCAAAGTTCTGTATAAGTTGGGCAGGTCTGCAGAATGTGCTCAGGTGTTTGTGGTCCTGTTTGACTGTACAATCTTTATTTTATACATGTGGTAGTCGAGCCTGCAGTATCCTATTCGTAGACGGAAAATTGTTGTATGTTGCTTTCTGTTGAGTCTGCTGATGGGGTCTTGTGGATGTTTACTGTTAGTTTGTTCTCTCCACAAATTCCTTGTATTTTCCATATAGCCATATTATATTGGCATAGATCGTACAGTTATTTATGTTATTATCATTATACACTAAAAAAAGGCACAGACTCCTTAAGAATCCACCTTCCCCTCCCACCCACACACTCACACACACACACATTACACACACACACACACACACACATACACACAAATGATTCTGTGTGCCAGCCTCCCAGCAGTTATAACACCTGAATACACTCGACCATGCATTATTGAAACTGATGAACTAACCTGTGTCAACAGTTGTAATCTCACTTCAACGACCCGCTGGAGGCCGGTGGTCGCCCGTGCAGCACGCCAACTGTCACACAAACAACGGCTGCTACCGTTCTGCCTGGATGGTTTTTGCACGATTGACAGATTACGGGCAAACTTCGCACTTTGGCGGACAAAAGTGAGCTGAGTGTTCGACATGGGAGCCATTAGTTGTAATGAGACTCAGTGACGATGGTGGCAGATCTTCTCAACGTCAGACTGGCGCCGCCACAGATTAGGAGCCAGAAGATATATTTCGTGTCATTATCTGGCCATGGATTGGCGCCAATCTCTTCATCTAGTTGCGCTGTTGCACTTCCAATGCAAACAGCTTGGGCAGTGGAGACATGCGTGGACAGGCTGGTGGGTGTAACCTCGGGCCACATGATGACCGAGACATGAGTGGACAGGCTGGTGGGTGTAACCTCGGGGCAACTGATGACCGAGACATGAGTGGACAGACTGGTGGGTGTAACCTCGGGCCACATGATGACCGAGACATGAGTGGACAGGCTGGTGGGTGTAACCTCGGGGCAACTGATGACCGAGACATGAGTGGACAGGCTGGTGGGTGTAACCTCGGGACAACTGATGATCCAGACATGAGTGGACAGGCTGGTGGGTGTAACCTCGGGGCAACTGATGATCCAGACATGAGTGGACAGGCTGGTGGGTGTAACCTCGGGGCAACTGATGATCCAGACATGAGTGGACAGACTGGTGGGTGTAACCTCGGGGCAACTGATGATCTAGACATGAGTGGACAGGCTGGTGGGTGTAACCTCGGGGTAACTGATGACCGAGACATGAGTGGACAGGCTGGTGGGTGTAACCTCGGCGCAACTAATGATCCAGACATGAGTGGACAGACTGGTGGGTGTAACCTCGGGGCAACTGATGATCATCCAGACATGAGTGGACAGGCTAGTGGGTGTAACCTCGGGGCAACTGATGACCGAGACATGAGTGGACAGGCTGGTGGGTGTAACCTCGGGGCAACTGATGATCCAGACACGAGTTGACTCCATGGGTTTTATGTAGTGTGATTGTGGGTATTCTAGGGTACCCCAGTCTTCTCCTGTCACAGATCTGGGAGAGTCAGGGACCAGAGGTCACTGCTAGACCAGAGGTCACTGCCAGACCAGTGGTCACTGCCAGACCAGAGGTCACTGCCAGACCAGAGGTCACTGCCAGATCAGTGCTGGTGTCACATCCATCATTCCTGACCGCCTTGGTTGCCGACGCGCGAAATCTCTATCAGAAGCCACATAGGAAGGGGTGTGCTAGCCACTGCTTTTGGCCATCCATAGCACCAGCTGTCTCAAATTTAGTCACATTCAATTCAAATTCAATATAGTTCTGTCCTTCTATTGAGACCCCAAATATCAAAGAAATGTTAAAGACCCTAAACTCCGTGAAGATGTGGCCTCTCTTTGAGAGCAACAAGACAGACTTCGTTGGCGAAATACCTCCGCATCGACTGTGTCTGCATTGTGATGCGACTGGTCCGTATGCTCGCGTGTGTGAGTGCGCGCGCGTGAACGTGTGTCTGTGTGTGTGTGTGTGTGTGAGTGTGTGTGTGTGTGTGTGTGTGTGTGCTTTTGCTAGCGAAGCGTGTCCTACTAGGCTGGCCAGACTGCAGGGTTCAATTAGACGTCAAGACAATGTTGTGTCCAGTGGCCAGTTTTCTGCAACCAGTGCAGCCACTTCTTTTGCGGCATTTGTGTAAACCATAATATTCTGCTAGTTGGCCCGCCCTGGCGCATGCAAATGTTG